ATTCATTCAACCTGTATACGATTACTTGTGTCACGGCCAAAATTTATTCTTCATATCAAGAACACTAATGTTTCTGTATTAAACAAGAACAAAAGAGGCAAACAATCATTCTATTAAAAAAATTAAGCATTGCTGAGGTAAAATTATCCATCCAAAAGATGCAACTACATCTCAGAATTGTTCTGACCTTATCCAACATGACAAATAGGGGAAAATTGACACAATATGCTAAAGCAGCTATACTTAAGCTTTGGCTACTGCTGGTGTTAATATACAACTCCAACAACCCTCCACTTGTTAGGTGAGACTGATGGAGAACATAATTCAACACAGACAAGAGAGCCAGCTCATAGTACCACTGTGCTAAGAAATGGAATGGGCCCAACACATAATAAAAGAAGCAGCGTTTGTTTATTAGTATAATCATTTTCCTGCTTTATACCTTTTTTTTCAGAGACCAAACAAAACTTTACAAAAAGATTACACACAGGCCATAAGTTTTTACAAGGATGGTTGTTTCGAATTGGCTTTACCAATGGTATTAATAAACACTAGCTAAGTATGAGTTTAGTAATAAAGGGCATTATCTCTAAATACTTCTGGCGACTCTCTGAGTCAGGGCTGGCCTGTAACTTATTCCAAAGTGTTTCAGGCATTTGTGGCACTGAACAACATATATTAAAACCTAGTAATGTTAGAATGTGCCTTTCTGAATTTCCTCATCTGCATAAGCGGGAGCTTCGTTTGTATTTACATCCAATCTTTATCAGTATGTTTCAGACTTATAATAATGCAAGCATGGTAAACCTCATCAGTGCAGGGACTCTATAATCTGTTCTTAAAATGGCCATGAAACAGTCAAGTGCAATTTCGTGAGTCAATGTTTTTTCAGAACTCATTGGACATACAAACCCATAGTTCCTTTGTATATTTCGATCTTAAAGGATGGTGGAAGAAGTAAGGGAGAAAAAGAGAACTGCAGACTGATTGCGTCTGGATCACACAAGCTTACAGATCTTAAAGGACATCTAAACCCAAGAACAAAAATGCCATATATTGCATCTCACCAGACCTTAAAAGTGGCTGCATTGGTTTTAGTCTTCGATCTAAGAAAGCAAGTACAGAGACTACCTATTATCTTGCCAGAAATGCAATGTCTTTGTAACGTTTGTGAACTGAAACTAGAATTGCAAACTATGTATTATTTTTAAACTACAAGTTCTCCCACTCTCCATGTAATGGCGATGAAAAGAGGAAGACATGTTTGTTGTCTAAATCAGGAGAGCAGCCCATTGTAACAACCATTGCTACCTGACACTGTAATATATCAATATTTATTTTTGGGTTTAGATATGCCTCCAGCCAATAGAATCGTGCCCTTTTTTTGTACTCTAGTTAAACCACTCAGTCTGGAGGAATGATTTCTTGATCTACTAATTTTTCTGGAGATTCTTGCTATAAATTAAGAATACATTTGGGCTCGTTATTGCAGTCAATTCTGGTTGGCTGATAGTTGGTGTGAATTATTCACCTATTTAGATTATGGATGTCACATTGTAAAACTTTGTATATGGTTTATCTTTTAGTCCTACAGTTAAAATGTCTGTAAAAGCTAATACTGAATTCTGGCGACTGCTGTTGCAGAGACAACTTATCTCATAAACATCATTATAATGACTGTAGAAAGTCTTGTTTCTCACCATTTGTAAACTAATTTTCACAGTGAATAGAATATTATGATATTTAAAACAATATAAGAGTAGTTCTGACAGTGATGAGTGAATCTCTTACTCTAAAAACCGTAATGGTTTGTATAGATGGGAGTCAAACATTGTGCATTGTATTTAATACTTCTTTCCAGTCAGCCAATTTTCTTAATTTGGAACTTTCTGGACTAGAGTAGACAGGGTCAGACCACTCTTGCACCTCCCAACATCCTAAAATCTAAAATTAGAATATGTAAGTACCGTACAGCTTTACCTAATTCTGCCCATGTTTAGGCAAAACTTCACCCACTTGTACCAAGCCCTGCTTCTTCATGGATCAGAAAGTTGAGACTGTTGTCTGCCAAAATATGTACATTTGGGAGGTATGCATGGTTTAAGTTATCAATATATTAGCATTCTCAAAATCTATAGAAAGAGGTTATAGATCACACTAGACAATTTTAGGATCCCTGTGGAAAGTCTCTTTACCCAAGTTTACTGGTAAGCCCAGTGAACTTATCTGAATGTAGTTACCAGTGCAAATGTTGTGATGGACAGAAACCACCAAATTATCTATGAATGCTCACATTTTACATTACTCGCTCCAAAGTTCTGCCAAAAAATGTCTAAACAAACAAACCTTTTAGGACTATTTGAAAAGTAACAAACTTGAAACAATTTAGTTCTGGTCATAAATATACAGAGAGAAAATGTATGTTGATAAGACAGTATATAAGGCACATAACAGTCTTTGAGAATACAGAAGATTCAGCCAACTTAAATTAATGGTTCTTTCCCTTATTTTTAGTCCACAAAACTGTACAGGTACACAAATGTTGTGTTGCGGATACATCTTTCAACCAATTCTTCAGTTTATCAAAACACCAGCACAATGGGCTCTTCTCTGAGAATGTTCCCCAAAAAATGTGATTTATTAATTGAACAAAGTCTCTATTAAAATACACTTGGAAATCGACTAAAAATAATCTCTTTTTTTGTTGTTAAAGGAACCTTTGAAGAGTCATCAGAAGAGATTTGTGAGTGTTGTTTGTGGAGGACTTCGAGATTCATGCACGTCCATGCTACCAGGTACCGAAGTCAGTACGGATGTCACAGTTGGCATTGTGGGGTTAGTCAAGTCTGTTAATGTAGTTGGGGTAGTAGAGGGGCTCATAGAGGCATTGGAAATTTCAGAGGCTGGCCCTGACGGAGTCCCAGCTTGAAGAGTGGAATCTGATGTTTTGTCTACTCCATTATTTTCTTGTCTCAGAAGATTCCGTCTAAACTTGGCTCTTGCATTTTGAAACCATACCTAGAATAGATGAAGAAGAACAGGATTAGGAAAGGCATCATACAAATGGAGTGATACCTATAAATTACTTATAACTGCACATTTTAAAGCAACTTGGCTTCTAAAATAGACAGGTAATCAAACAAACATGTAAATTAAATCTTTTCACTCTTCTGTTTTTCAGTTAAAATTTCCAGATCAAGTAAACTGTAGACAAATGCAGTAGATACTTTGTTATTTCAAAGATGGCATTTCCAGATACAGTTAGACCTTAAGGACCATCTTCTTGGCATTCACAGCCAAAGTGACATCGGGATGCTTATGTCACAGGGAAGAATCTACAAACACCAAATTTTCTTTTTAACCAGGGTGAACATACATGACAAACTTTTTTTTGAACATCTGTGCACACAATTGCTGGCTATCAGGCCCCTTAAAAGACCTTAATCTGTTCAAGAAGTTTTTATGCAATGGGAGTGTCTTTCCTGTCTTGGGTGAAATTGGCATGTATGTATTTTGTGAACTTTGGTGGCTGAACAACAGATATAATGTGGATTCTGGTTTTCTGACACACTACCAGAACTTTTTATGAATCTACAGAACATCACAATATTCATGTATGTTGTATATATCTGATCTGTTTAGGGTTTATTTGTCATCCTACGTTTATTTTTTCTGTCTTTTGATTATCAGGAGGCATTTTTTACTCCCAGGTCTAACATTTATGACACCCCACGAACCGCCCCCCCCCTCCCCCCT